CAGAAGGCTTCTTGTGCTTTTGGAAGTGTGTGGGCGGTTGTTACTGCCCGGCCGCCCACATCATGGAAGTTGCTTGAATCTTCGGGTAGCTGAAACAGAAAGAGGGTTAGTGTTGCGTGACCGCAGAGCCCAGGGGACAACTCCTTGAGACCGGTCACACATGGCCTGTATGAACTTGTTTCTTGGTATGGTTCCGTGTTAGTAAACTGACTGCCGGTTACGGACCACCGTAGGGTAAGTCGGGATGTAAAAATCTTCGGATCGACCTATTCTAACCCCCTTTCTCCAGAGCAGAGAGACAGCATAGGTGGCATGCTGGTCATCTGAGGGAAACACCTCAGTGTTGTTACACCCCTATTCCCCAGCAGTACGACTTCGCCACAGACCCCTAGCCTAGTGTAAGAAAGATTCTTACACTACACTAACAACCTTCCTGACATATTAGGACACGCAGGAACATTGGCTCCTGCCAGTGTAGCTTGTTGGGCCATGGCGATGTGCAAGCCTGACCACCACGTCAAGATAGCACCTATCGATCGTGTTCAGAAGTCATCAGTTTCAAAATAACTGGATTCCTATACAATATCATTTGCATTCAGACGTTACAGTTACCATCTAACCCTGTTTTAGGGAGGGAGATTTTTTCATAGGGAAGTAACTCGTTATTGCAGTTTTTAGGGTATTTGCTTACCATGTTTTTGAAAAGTAAACTGAACTTTTTCTAACATTTTTCTCACGATATATAATTCGATATCTTATTACTTTTATACAATTATTATTCACTTCATAAGTTCCGAGTAGAATTTAGGACTTCAGTGACACACTCCTATTCACTTTTACTTGACTTCGCGACTGCTTATAGGCTTTCATTTCCTGGTTACATGATCTCCTTACCACTCTCGGACCCCCAATCTATGCCTTTACAATCAGATTTCATTTGACGGCTTGGTGTAGCTCTCTATGTACCATTTAAATTAAATAGTTAATGGCAGGTGAGGAATATCAACGCATATGTAAAATTCTAATTGATAAGAATCAAATGATACGAAAAAAGGTGTTTTTAGGGTGTTAAAAGTTGATATAAAATGCTTCCTGTTTGACAGTTCGTTTTGTTAAAACGATCACAATGGAAGGAACAATCAATAGACATGGAACTCTTAGTTTTTAATAAGGAAAAATGAGAAGCTTTACAAGCATATATATATATTTTAGTCCTAATTCAAACTGTGGGAACTGTTTATTGTTCATTGACCTTTACCATGTGACAATGCATAAATTCATGGTTACACTTTATGACTTCTTGAACAGGAAGTTTATGAAATCATGATCAAATAGTAAAACCTTGAGAACACAAGACGACATCCATGTTGATAATGACTTACAAATTTGCCAATAATTTAGGATCGGTTAGTCATATATTATCACTACGATTCTCTTCGTATTACTTTGAGCAGTCGTCATTGTCTACTTGTGGTGTTTTTGCTCAGTCATTTCATTCTTTTACCAGTATTACCAATAGAATAATCTTCAAAAGAATGAATACTGAACAAAGAGTACCCTCTTCGATAACCCCTTCATCATCAGACTATGCAGTTATATATACATTATAGTGAATGAATCAGTTAGTGTTATGGAAAACATTAATGTCATTTAAATAACATCGAATCATTAATATTGATAGATTATAGCTCAATAGCATCAACATAAAATAAGCTGAATGTCGGAGATATTAGGAAAGATAATATTACAAATTCATGAGTTTATAGTTTCCACTGAAGGCCAGGACAATAGTAGGGGCTGGAATTGCTTCTTTTGAATACAGAGCTCTGGTTGTTTGAGGCGGATCGCAATAGCCTCTGATGTCTTGGAGTATGCGGTGCTTCGATTATTTTGGTAATTTTTTAGGCACCCGGTAGATTACAGAGAAGGATTCTTCCACGCTGGCCTTGTGGCTGTTTTGCACCAGATGGTCCAATTTCGAATTGTTGATGGTTTTCACCACATCTGTACCTAGCCATACTAGAAGATGTTCTCGATCACGAAAAATTAAGCTCCTAGAGCAACGGCCGATATAACTCGCTTCAGAAAGCAGTTGAATTGGTAGATACAATTTGAAGTAGCTAGTTTAGGCACTTCATCTTTCAGTCGAGGAATCACCATCGGTCGCGTAGACAATAAGACGTGTAGTTCGCCAGCATTAAAAGTTCTTTGAACTGATTTTCTTAATTTCCTCGTAATTATCTCACTTGGTATATTGCTCTTTAATTGTAGTCGTATATAAAGAGGCTTCTTGTTTACAGATAATGAGAAGTCCTTTTCCGCTTTCTTTGTCTTGTGTTTCTTGATAAAGTTTTCGGGATAGCCATTTTCGATCAAGTCATTGAAGCACAGTTTAGAAGTTGAAAAAAAATATTATGAAATGCGACGAAGCACAGAATACTTCTGTCTCAATATAAGTTTTTTTTTCATTTCCCTGCGTTCCGAGTAGAACATGAAACTTTGAACTTGACCTGTGAAGTGCCAGTATCGGTGGTTTTGTTTTGATGGTGGAATGAGATTGTTAGCCTTACTTTCAGCCTTCTGTCTTTCACTGGGCTTATCCTTGGCTGAGCAAGTTTTATTAGGGCGTCAACCGAGAACTGAACCCAGAACACGTGCATAGTTTGCGTGCATTTCCGTTACTGAACATCTACATTATAGTATAGTTTTTTACTATGTAGGCTTATTTGATCTAACACACAGTGATACTGTATTAATAAATATATAATAAAAACAATTAATCCCTTTGATAAATATGAATAAGGCATTAAGAAGACAAATTTCGCAAGAGGATATCATTTCATATTTTCTTTACAACCGCTTTACAACTAACACGGTTAACAATAATAAAATAAAGTTCATGACAATTACTCGAATGCCAGTGGGTGAGTACTGCCGATGATTCCCAAACTAGGATGAAACAGCAGCTGTCCAGCACTCCCTGGTTTTCAATGGTTCTCTACCTGATATCAATTCGTGATCAACTCGTAAATAAAAAAACAAAAGTACATACATATGATCAATCATATTTAAATAGGTCATGTAGTCAATGTTGGGCAAAGATTGTTTTTTGTACACACACTTTAGGTTGTATGTGATTAATCCAAAGTGCTCCTATCACCTTCAATAACCTTGAATTAGAGTTATGTGAAATAATTGTGAAATAGTCATTAATACTGATTTTAGTGACCTGACATTAATAAGTGTTTTGTAATGGATGATGATGGATTTCTATTCAGATTAATCACATTAGGGTTTTCTATATTATTTAGTAGCCATTTTGGAACATGTTCTTTTCGACGACATTGGAACATTCTGTTGGTTCTACCTATATAGGTGTGTGTCACCGCAGCTGCAGGTGAACTTGTAGATACAGTTTGAAGTAGAGTCCACAGAATTTTGTCCTTTAATCTTTGGTACAGGGATCGAAAATGTTCAGCATGTGAGAAAAAGAGATGCGGCGGCGTAGAATGTGGGCTTGATGGTTGACTGAAGTCTTTGAGCTGTCAACTGTATAATCTGGTCATCCTTGAATGGTAGGTTAATAAAGATAACTTTCTTTGGTACAGAAGCAGTCTTTTCGAGATGTGGTCTTTCTTTACTGTGATAATTAATAAAGTTTTCCGGATAACCATTAGCTAATAAAACTGAATGTATATGTTGAAATTCATGCATCAATGTATCACTCGTGCCTAATTTTTGGGCCCTTGAAAACAAACATTTCACTAGGAAACGTTTATACTGGATAGAAACAAAACTGGTGAAATGAAGATATTGTCTTATTGCCTTATTCTAATAAATGTATGACTTTTCAAGTACAATTTATTGCTCACAGTTATATCACCGTATTCCCGCGTCTTCCTAACATCCTTCATGTGGTTTATTTGTAATCTCCCTTGTTATTTTGTTTGTCTTCTCATGTGTGTGTTGTCTCACTACTGTCGCGTGTGTCTACGGTTGATATGATGGAAAAGGATTGGGAGATTAACCTCTCTCTTTCTCTCTCCGCCTAAACGTATTACCTTCCAATCCTTCTAACCTATTGTGGGCTTATATGTAATTGGAGCTATAGCAATGCACGAAATTTTCTCGAGATTGCCTAAAATGGCATCGTCAGATATTCTAACTCTAACTAAATTCTTATATTCCGATAATCTAACTGACAATGATCTACAAGTCTGACCTTCATAGTTGACTTCCCAGTCATCACATGATATTTATTGAATTACACAATCCTACTTAACTGGGTACATTCAGCCCTTAAGCCAACAATAACTATCTCTAAGTGAGTTGTGCGTCGGCGGCACGGAGGTTAGGATGCTCACCGACCATGCACATGGTCCGGGGTTCGATCCCCGGCCACCGACGCACTCTTTTACCTCGCTAAGCTAGAAATAATGCTGGCGAAGAGGAAAGGTTAGGCATGAGGCTAGCAACCCCATCCTGTAAAAATAGACACCACTGCTACAGAAACTTCAAGCCATTTAGCTTGAAGCCCTATGTTCCACTGGGAACGTGAAGGAAAAAAAGTGAGTAGGCTAGTTTGAATGCTACTCTAATTCCAGCTTTATTAATAATTAATTCCAGATATTTTCTTCTGTGTATTACTGCAATGTGGAAACTTGAAATTCCTTATTATTTATATTTCTCACTGGTCTATACATATATATGTACTGAACCATATTTTGGCTTCTACTTTGAGTGCAGTTTCTCTCACATGATGAATAAGATTTTACGTATTTATTTTTATATGCATATAAATGCGTGGATTCAGAATAAAAAAAGTTTTATATAAATACTTCGGTAGATTGATTCATATTCAGCGCATACGTTTTCAATGTTCACTGGTTTTTTATGCATTAAAACTTTTTGCAGGATCAAAAATTGACAAGATGAAAAGTTTCGCATTTATTCTATTAGAAATTATTTTTTTATATGTAACTTGTCATTCAGTAATTAAAATGGAAAGACGAGTTGAAATCAGCAGCTATGGTGATCCTAAACTAAATATATCTGATTATGACGAGGAAGATGATCAATTCACTAAAGAATTCAGTAATTTTGACGTTACTAACCGATATAATGCGGTGAATAATAACGGGATATCGAGTGAAGTGCATGCGACCAATGCCGGAAACAACTCGAGAGATTACGGTCACAGTGGTTTTGCAGATTTTGTTAAGACTATTGAAAAACGTGCTCAAGAGGATGATTATAATAATAATAATAATTATAAAGGAGATGAAAGATGGTCTGGTTCTGAGCAGTCAGTGGACAAGAAAAACAATACAAATGCTGATGACGATTTCTTTAAGAGTGGAGTATTTGATTCAGATGATGACCAGAGTGATGGTGACATAGACTTCTCTGTTTCAAAGGCTGGAGGTTATACGAGCGATAAGGAAAGTAATATGAAATCTGATGAAAAGACTTCCGAAAATCCAGTGGTAACAAGTGTACAGCTTCAAGAAACCCCTGATATGTATAATACTAATAATGAAAGATATGAAAAGAAACATGAATCTATGACTGTCAAACAGAACAAACGGAATGCAGAAACGAGAAGGAATAGGAATAGAAAGAAAAGAAGACATCGCTATGAATTTTTTCCATCCTATTGATCCGATTACAGATCTATGAGTCCATGTATAAAAAAGATCTAAAGATGGCAGTTACAAGCGAATATAAAATGTTATTTCTTAAAGCAAACTAATACTTTTTGTAAATAAACTAACTGTAACATATTTTTTAAATTATATTTAAAAAAAACTTAATTCATAAGCGAAGTAAAATTCCCCTTAGGAGGGACAAATAATAGAATTGTGCAGATTTGTGTTGGTTCCCTACACACCAACACTTGAATACCAATGAGATGCTCACTGGCGACTGGCCCTATTCAGGTAGGTAGTTACCTGGGTTCCAGTGGGAAGTCGTGACCAGTAGGGTGCAGCCGGTCGGGTGTGAGGACAAATACTCGCCGAAGACATTGGCTAGCGGTCGCGCTATGTCGTGAATTGGCAGAAGTTAGAATTCATGGGCTGGCCATTGGATCGGGTCCCAGTGGCTTAACGGTATACGAGCTCGCCTTGTGACTAGAAGGCCCTGAGTTCGAACCCCAGTGACTGCGTACTGCTGAAGAGTCCCAAACGAGGACGAAACAACTGTCCAGTACTCCCAGGTTTTCCAATGGTTCTCTAACTAGTGTCAGCTCATGATTAAATCCTGAAACCAATCAAATACCTGCAAACCTACACTTGAATACTTAAGACCTTATTAGTAATTTAGCAGTGGGATGTTACCATAGTTATCTGGAGCGGGATATGCAATTTTCTGCCCAACTAAGTTCGAGTGAGGATATAGGCCGACACCAGGTGTTATCGCGCAATGCCATCGGTTACCGCGCTCACGTCAACAGACGTTATAATCACCTATTTTTTTGGAAATAGATTATATTTGACTAGTTTTAGACTTATGTAGCCGGATGGCAGTATTTTGCTGTATTTTGTTCTTAGTAGAGCGTAAAATTGTATATTATAGCTCGGACGAATTATCAATGAAGAAGTCATCCTTTTTAAGAAAGTTCGCATAGAAAGACTATTATTTGCATTATAGTGCGTTGAGGGTTTGTTTATTTTCCAGTTGTTTCAGATCTTAAGGTTGTAAATATACTGCAGTCAATGGCTGTTGTCATTCCAGTGAATCTATGAGAATCTGGCCTATGAAAGATAAATAGCATGCAGACATAGGTTAGATGTGTGCTTTGAACATGTTAAACTTTTCTGTTATCATCCGGGATGACTGAAATATTCCATAACACATTGACGACATTATGCGATGAATGAGACAGGCTGCTGAATTTCCTGGTTATTATATCTATTTAGATGAAGTTCCTAGTTAAAAGTGCTTGGGCGAAGATGTGAAAATAGTTTAATTGACATTTGCACATGGAATTTCACAAGGCCTTAATTGCTCAGTGCATGAAATGGCATCAGAGTATATTGACATCAGTGTTCATTGTGTCTGGAAGAATAGTATAAATAGTCCTTCTCAAATGTCAGAGTACTTAAAATTAGTACCAGATTTATGTCGATTAGTAGCTGGCGGCTGTGTCGTACAACTACTACACCTGTTACATAGGTTATATCAATCTTAAAAATTATTTTGCTTCACATCACTAAGATATTGTGAGATCCTTAATGACTTAATTGTGGCTATGAAAGATGTGGAAGATGCACTTATGGCTCATATATTTAACGCAGTTATTATTAGACAAGTTATCTGTAAGCAACTTGTGATGTTCTGAATACTGCAAACTGTTGATAAGAAACTGCATTAAAGGAAAAAATGCTGAACAGCTAGAAAATACTACTGCAGTTTCGTTGGTTGTTACCTTTAGCATTTGTAACTCATTATTCCAAAGCTGCGATTGACGCCAAACCATCCATGGTACCCCACAGGCCCTATTGAAATTTGTGAGACATCTTACATGTCAGGTTGTCTTCCATATTATAAGGTTGCAGATCTTTCAATTTACCTCTCACTGAAGTATCACTTATCTACTTCACTATGGTCTTTTCATTTGTGCACTATTACACTGCATTTTATGTTAACTGGATATGCCTTTATGCTTACAGTCTATTTGCTTTTATTAGAAACACAACAACAGCAGTGTTGGAACAAAGCTGTATTTTCATAGAAAACATCATATTTTCTATCCTTACACCAATATGGTTGGCATTAAACATTGCAGATGTATACTCACATTCCAACGACATAGCACTTAGCCAAATGTACGGTGTTCATTATTAAGGGTTTACAATTTAACTCTTATAATTCATGATACTTCACGATTGCAGTTTATAACATAACTTATTGCGCCTGTAGAAATGACATGCATTCATTGTAAACATTGGTTTAAACGAAATTTGAAATTATTACTATATGCTTGCTGCTATCCTTTAGAAGAGGAATAATGTGTGTTGCAGTGAAAACCCCAGAATAATGATGTCATTACCAAAGAATGAGAAAGGAGAATAAACCATTTTCAGCAAAGGTAGGCAGATATAAATCGTTTACCTTTAATATTACTTCTTCCTTACTTCAGCTATTTAAAAAACACTTTGTTTACTTATTTGTAGATATCTGGTAACGTCAATCACCCCAGTCACAGAGATTCGACATTGCACAAATTATTCCGACAATCGACTGCGTAAACACATTTGCTTGTTATTATTTTTTCATTAAATACATTTAATATCCTGCTTACCAGACCTTTCTTATTATATCTGAGTTTAGATGTATTTGTCATGATGACTAGGTGCAGACATGACTTATTAATAAGAACTGACGAAGTAATTGGTGGCATATTTTAGTGTAAGCTAAATCTAAATACGATTGTTAAAGCTCAACGAATTCAATAATTCGTCTGGTGTAGAGTTGAATTTACGCTACATGTCAACAGCCTTAGTCATATGGATTGACATCACGCTTTAAGTGAAACATTAGTAATGCAATACTTTCGAATACACGTAACCGTATAAGAACTGGGACTCGAATGCAGTGCCTAAGGTATGCCTACTATTGTCCCTAAAGACTTGTATATGACTATGATACTTATGCACGTTAGCTAACTGAAATACTTATAATTTAACACGTATGCTGACCGACATCGTTCCTACACAATTACACTTACGTATTGTTAGTAGTGAAAGTCCTAGAGAGCACCGGTCTAGCATGCCGTGCTCACAAAGTGAACACATGAATTGAAAGACAACAAAATTTACATGAAAATTTTATTTTCATTATGACAAAAATTTAGTTTATTTACATATTAAGAACACGATTGATTCCTGCGATTACTCCGTCTGCATAAGCATTGGCAAACACTTCTCCAAATTTGTCATTAATTCTGTCCATACCCGCATTGATAATCTTCTTTTTGGTATCGTATATGTTACTTCGATTTCGAGGGATAACTGCTGACGTACTTTGAGATGCGAACAAGTTGCGTGACCACGTCCATTGTTTACAATTATGCATCACATGGTTAACTACAAAAGGTGGAACAAAAAAAGTTAAGATAACTATGAACTGATTATTACATTACATTATACATTAAAAACGTAGTCATAAAAACGCAAATATACCTGTGAAATACGGCTTTCTTAAGTGGACCAAAAGCAAGTGTCGGCAGGGGTACCGACAGGTCTGAAATGTAAAGCACGTGCAGGTGCAAGCACTCAGATCAACCTGCACTGTTTTCCCATTTTCTTTGAAAAATACATAATCAACGGATTCGAACTCAACAGTAGCCCATCGTCGCAATTGGTATTCACGTATTACCTTCCTCGCGGCGTATGGTGTAAGCAACCGTATAATTGGGATTAAACTTTGTGAACAGGGATACGTGAAGCATCGTGATTGAGCAATATTCGCCTCCTGCTGTATTATTGAAAAACTTCGTTTATGCCATTTATACACCTTTAGCATACTTTTATGCAGACTATCAGATCTTTGCAAAAACCGTTTCATCTGCTTGTGGGAACTCTCGACACGATTATTTGTATCGTTCCCAAAAGTCAGCACGTTATCTCTGAAACAGGCCGCCCACAATTCTCGTCGATGCATCCAACGACGTTGTAGGTATTGACTGACATTAGCGTCCAATCTGCTAATAACTCTGAAGTAGAAATTAAATCTGCAAAATGAGAACAATAGAGGCATTACTCTGATCTCCTTTTACACTGCACTAGACGGCATAAGTAGTTCTTCACAATGGGATTTCTTGTCTACGAATAAAATGTAAAGTATGCTTTGAAAAACTTACTTTCCGACAGAAAGCTCGGCAAACATGAAAAGAACACAAAACAATGTGCGCTTGTCTGTGCGTTAACTTGACGGCTGCTATTTCAGCTTGCGCACAATCCATAATGAAGGATTCTGTTTTCGAGGTGTCTTCCATTATTTGCCGGAAACAGTCTAATATCCAAACTACATCTCGTTTGAATTCTTTTCTAGTCCACGCAAATAAAACTGGTCGTCCACGACCAAAATTATCCGTCACAAGTAGCTGGAACAAAGAATACCTGCACGTTGACTAATGAATTGGTAAACTTACTTCCCCTTATTCGTATTATACGTCGAGTCGATACCAACAACTTCAGGGAACTGTTTATACAATTCCATTTGCTCATAAGTTGCAAAACAAATTCTTGTTAGTGAATTCCTGATCGGTTCATCGGAATAATACTCCATTAACTTCCCACGGGATTTTAGGAATTCAAAAATGTCACGACGACTCGAAATACCTTAAGTATGTAACAAGTACGTCAACGTTACCTTTATTCACTGCGGCTTTCATATTTTTAACGTCAATGCGAGTTATATCCTTGTTGTACTTCTCCTTAACATGCATTATTATTTCATCGGATGAGTGGGATTGCTGAAGAAGTGGTTCAATATTTTCTTTCTCTTCAACTGTTAGTCGTCTATACCATGGGTCATTCTGCATGTACACCCTGCTGCATGGATGGTTATGCACCATATTGTGGGAAGCAATTATGTATTCACTATGATGCAAAACCACGCGAAATGAAGACGAGCAATTGCAACATTTAGACCT